TTTATTTTTGGTTCCAAATTCTCTTTCTCGTTCTTCCAGAACCCTTCCCTACCTATTGAGAAGGCAAGAAAAACAAAGTATATCAAAAATATTCATAGTCATGCAAAACAAATTTCTGCTTTAAGAATGTCTAGAAAAAATAAAGGAAAGAAAAGAAAATATGTTTCACTTTGCAGGTGGAAAGCATGTTTCATCACTATTCCTGTGGGATTGTGGTGGGTCATTGAGTTGATCAGAGTTATCAATTCTTTCAAGGTTTATCTTTACAATATTGCTATTATTGTAGAAATTGTTCTCCTTCTTGTCACTTCACTTTGCATCAGTTTATGCAAGTCTGCTCAGATTTTTCTGAAACCATCCGTGTCATCATTTTGTATAATACAATAATATTCTATCACATTTATAGACCATAATTTGTTCAGCCATTCCCCAATTGGTGGGCATATGTTCATTTTCCAATTCTTTGCCACCACAAAAACAGCTGCTATAAATGTTTTTGTACAAATAGCTCCTGTAATGCAGGACTTCCTCAGCTCCAGCCTCTAGCAGGTTCACTCTAGTTACAGGCAGACAGAAGGATAGCGGTGGAGACATGCTAAGGGGTTAATTTACCTTATTCTTCCCAATGGCACCAAGTTGGGGAGGAGGTGGGGGAGCTCAGCTCCTACAGCATCTCTGTAAGCCTCGATGGTGGCAGGTCGAGACAAGCACAGCTTTTTACTTTCACATTCTGCATTCACTGACCACTGCTCATTTGATTTATAGAGAAACAAACAAAGAAGGTCATATGCCAACCAGAAACTCCTGGCACAAGTGCAGTAGGGGTGTTTACAGGCTAAACTTAAATGTTTACATCAACTTGGTTACATAATGATACACAAGTGCCATAAGATTGTTTATGGCCATGGATTCTGGGAACTTGTATCAAATTGGATCTACCTTACAGCTCCTTTTCCTCTTTTTTTTTTTTAATTTCTTTGGAATACAGACTTAGTAGTAGCATTGCTTGGTCAAAGGGAATGCACAGTTTAATAGCTTTATGGGCACAGTTCCAAATTGCTCTCCAAAATGGTTGGATTAGAGGGCCAAGATGGCAGAGTAAGAAATAAGTTGCTTTCACCTTCCCTCATTAACCCCTGAAAGCCCAGAAAATATAGCCACAGGAAAAACCCTAGAACAGCTGAACCAGTAAAAAGACCAGAAAAAAGTGCAGCAGTCCTATAGCCCAGGAAGCTTGAGAGATTAACAGGAAAGGACCCTCTTGTCCTGGGGGAGGGGAAGCAGTATAGAATGGGAGATGTCCCAGCAAGCTAGCAGAAAGCCCCACCTCAGCATACTGCAAGGAGCTGAAGAAAGTGAAAGGAAAGGCTTGGGTGAGCAGGCAACCTCCAGGGGCCAGACAACCCAACCTTACCATTAGAGTTCTAGTGTTGCTAATTCCAGCCTAACACCAGGTATACTGCCAGAACCCTACAGCCTCCAATTGCCAGCATTGGAGGTCCCAGCACACAAAGCCAGTGACCAGGCCCCAGGCTCCCAACACCAGGAGCTTGAATCAGTGCCCCCTGCTCCCCATCAGGAGAGCTCAATTTTTTTAAAGGCCAGGAAATAAGCAAATACCATGAGCAAAAAGAAACATACCATAGATTCTTATTATGGGAACAGTGAAGATCAAGGCAGAAATTCTGAAAAGGACAACATTGTCAACAAAATCGTTGGATTAGTGTCCCAATTTTTCTATGTCACCTCCAGTATTTGTCATTTTCCTTTTCTGTCATGTTAGCCAATCTGGTAAGTGAAGTGGCACCTAAGAATTGTTTTAATTTGCATTTCTCTGATCAGTAGTGATTTAGAACATTTTTATATGACTGTTCATAGCTTTGATTTATTCTTCTGAAAATTGCATGTCCATATCCTTTGACCATTTATCAATTGAGGAAAGGCTGTTATTTTTACAAATTTTATATATTTGAGAAATGAGGCCTTTATCAGATAAATTTGCTATAAAACTCCAGCCCTCCTCCCCACAGTTTCCTGATTTCCTTCTCATTTTGGCTGCCTTATTTGTGCCTTTAAGAATTTGGATGGTCTGCCATTTGGTGCATTTATGTTTAGTACTGATATTACTTCATTGTCTATGGTAACTTTTAGCAAAATGTAGTCTCTTTGATTTTATTTTAATTGGGTATATTTTTGCTTTTACTTTGTCTGAGATCATTATTCCAACCCTCTTTTTACCCCTGCCTTTTTTTTTTTGCTTTAGCTGAAGCACAATGGATCCTACTTTAGTCCATTATTTTAACTGTGTGTGTCTCTCTGTTTCAAGTGTGTTCTTATAAACAGCATATTGTTGGATTAGGGTTTCTAATCCATTCTGCTATCCACTTCTGTTTTATGAGTGAGTTCATCCCATTGACATTCACAATTATGATTACTAACTATGCATTTCCCTCCATTCCATTTTCTCTCTCTCTCTCTCTCTCTCTCTCTCTCTCTCTCTCTTTTTCTCTCTTCCCTTATTCCTGTGTATTATCTCCCCTTTCCTTTATCCTCTTCCCCTCCTACTTTCCTGTTTGGTAAGATAGACTTCTATACACTATTAAGAGTGTGTGTGTATTCTTCCATCTTTGAACCAATTCTGATGAGAGTGAGGTTCAAGCATTGCCCCTCCTCCATTTCCTCCTCCACTGTAAAAGCTCTTCCTTGCATGCCTCTTTTATGTGAGATACTTTTCCCCATTCTTTTCCTCCTTTCCCCCTTCTCCTAGTGCATTCCTTTTTCTCACCCAGCATTATCAATTCACTTCCATGCTCTCTATGTAGACTCCTAACTGCCCTAATAATGACAAAGCTGTTATCTTCCCATGTAAGAATGTAAGCAGTATAACCTTATTGAATCCGTTATGACTTCTTATTTACCTTTTTATGCTTCTCTTGAGTCTTGTATTTGAAAATCAAATTTTCTATTCAGCTCTGGTCTTTTCATCAGGAATACTGGAAAGTCTGCTATTTCATTAAATATCCATTTTTTCCAGAATATCATATTTCAAGCCCTCTGCTCCTTTAACATGGTAACTGCTAAATTTTGTGTGATCCTTACTTTGGCTCTATGGTATTTGAATGGCTTCTTTCTGGCTGCTTAAAGTACTTTCTCTTTGATCTGGGAGCTTGGAAATTAGGCTATAATATTCCTGGGAATTTTCATTTTGGGGTCTCTTTCAGGAAGTGATTGGTGGATTCTTTCAATTTCTATTTTACCCTCTGTTTCTGGGTGTTGGGGTAGTTTTCTTTGATGATTTCTTGAAAGATAATGTCTAGGCTCTTTTTTTTATTTTGGCTTTCAGGTAGTCCAGTAATTCTTAAATTATCTCTCTTGGATCTGTTTTCAAGTTGAGTTGTTTTTCCAATGAGATAGTTCACATTTTCTTCTATTTTTCAGTCTTTTGACTTTGTTTTATTGTTTCTTGATGTTTCATGGAGTCATTAACTTCCACTTGCCCAATTCTAATTTTTAAGGAATTATTTTCTTTAGTGAGTGCCTGCAACACTTTTTCCATTTGGCTAATTCTGTTTTTTAGGAATTACTTTTATCAGTGAAGTTTTATACCTCCTTTACCATTTGGCCAGTTTTGTCTTTTCATGATTTTCTTGCATTGCTGTCATTTATTTTTCCTCTACTCCTCTTATTTGATTTAAAAATATATATTTTTAGTTCTTACACGAATTCTTGTTGAACTTGTGATCCATTTACATTTAATTTTTTTCTTTGATTATAGCTATTTTGTCAACATTGCCTTCTTATGAGTTTGTGTCTTGATCATCCCTGTCACCATAGTAGCTTTTTATGCTTGGGTTCTTTTTTTGTTTGTTTGTTTGTTCATTTTTCCTGGCTTATTTCTTGACTTTGAACTTTATATTAAAGTTGGGCTCTGTTCCTGGGGTGGGAAGGGGGAAGGACACACTGTCTGAAGTTTCAGGCTTTTTCACACTGCTGTTTTCAGAGGTAGAACTAGGAGTTTGGAAGTTTTTGGCACTTCCAAGGTGATGGGATCCAGGGAGAGGTGTAGTCTCTGCTCTCCTGGTCTGTTCTCTTATCCTGACCCAGGAAGGGCCCTGATCCCTTGTGACTCCTCTCTACTCTGGAGTTGTGATCCAGAAGTCAGTATAGACAATGGAGTTATCTAACAGTGCCAAGTCTTGTGCCTTGTGCTAGCACAGGGTTCCCCTGTAATTTCTTTCTGAACAGTTGCCCAATCCCCTTACCATCTCTGGCTTGAAAGCTTCTGAAGCTGCTGCCTCTAAAGCAAAGTGGTATTGCTGTCATGTGGGCTCTTGGCCAGCTCCTACCCTAATGTCACAGTTCTCTCCTTCCAACCTCTTAAGTTGTCTTTGGCTGGAAAAAATGTGTCATCCTGGCCTTTTGTTAGTTCTGTTGTTCTAGAATTTAATTTGACACATTATTTTAAAGTAGTTTGGAGGGAAATGCTGGGAGAGCTCAGCTATAGTGTTTCCTCTATTCTGCCATCTTTGTTCCCTCATTTAGCTTTTAAACTTATTACTTTTTTTAGCTCCTTCTTTAAATCTGGTTTTAACTCTAGAATTTCTTCTGTATTTGTGTCCATGCTGCATTTATTTTTGACACTTTGCTTATGCATTTTTCTTTTTTATTTAATATTTTATTTTCCTCCCAATTACATGTAAAAACAATTTTTAATATTCACTTTTTAAATTGAGTTGCAAATTCTCTTCCTCCCTCCCTCCCTCTCCTCTCTTATTGAAAATTTGATATAGGTTATACATGTGCAGTCATACAAAATATTTCCATATTCATCATGTTGTGAAAGAAAACACAGACAAAAAAACCCAAGAAAAATAAAGTTTTTAAAAAGTATGCTTCGATCTGCATTCAGGCTCCATCAGTTCTTTCTCTGGAGGTAGACAGCATTTTTCATCAAAAGTCCTCTGAAATTGTCTTGGATCATTGTATTGCTGAGAATAGATTCACAGTTGATCATTTTCTCAGGTTTTTCTGCAGGCATCTTGCTCATCAATTTTTTTTTTCACTTGATACTTTTTTAATGTAGATACTCCTAGGGAAGGAAATAGATTGAGCAAATTAACACTAAAATGATAGTAACTTATTTAATCTGTTTTCTTCCTTATAGAGCAGCAGCTAGGCAAAACTGGGTGCTATGAGGGAAGCAAAAGGTAGAGTATAAAATAGAAGTGAAAAAGGATATAGAAAATAAAAGCAGGAGTTGCCAAAGATGAACTTAACAGTTTTATAGAGAGTTGGACCTGGCTATAGAGTATCCTATCACTTGTTTTAATTTTAATTTAATTTATTCATTTGTTTTTAGTTTTCAACATTCACTTCTACTTTGAGTTTTAAATTTTCTTCTCCTCCTTCCACTCTCCCCTCCCAAGATGGCATGCAGTCTGATACAGCTATACATGTACAATCATATTAAACACATTAGTAATTTTGTAATTTATTTCCACATTAATAATGTTGTGAAGAAGAATTAGAACCAAAGGGAAAAACCATAAGAAAGAATTTTAAAAAAGAGAGAAAATAGTATACTTTGATCTGCATTCAGACTCCATAGTTTTTTCTCTGGATGTGTGTAGCATTTTCCACCATGAGTCTTTTGGAATTGGAATTGTCTCAGATCCTTGTATTGCTGAGAAGAGTTAAGTCTATCAAAGTTGGTCATCATACAATGTTGCTGTTACTGTGTACAATGTTCTTCTGCTGCTGCTCACTTTAGTCAGCATCAGTACATATAAGTCTTTCCAGGTTTTTCTGAAGTCCACCAACTCATCATTTCTTATGGAACAATAACATTCCATTACATTAATATACCACAACCTGTTCAGCCATTTCCCAATTGATGGGCATCCCCTCAATTTCCAGTTCTTGGCCACCACAAAAAGAGCTGCTATTTTTGTACATGTGGGTCCTCGTCTCATTTTTATGATCTCTTTGGAATACAGACCTAGAAGTAGTATTGCTGGGTCAAAGGGTATGTACAGTTTTATAGCCCTTTGAGAATAGTTCCAAATTGTTCTACGGAATGGTTGGATAAGTTCACAACTCCACCAACAATGCATTAGTGTTCTAATTTTCCCACATCTCCAACATTTATCATTTTCCTGTTTTGTCATGTTAGCCAATCTGATAGCTCTAATGTGGTACCTCAGAGTTGTTTTGATTTGCATTTCTCTAATCAATAGTGATTTGGAGCATTTTTTCATATGACTATAGATAGCTTTAATTTCTTCCTCTGAAAACTGCCTGTTCATATCCTTTGACCCTTTATCAATTGGGGAATGACTTGTATGCTTATAAATTTGACTCAGTTCTCTATATATTTGAGAAATGAGGCCTTTATCAGAGACTCTGGATGTAAAAATTGTTTCCCAGCTTTCTGCTTCCCTTCTAATCTTGGTTGTATTGGCTTTGTTTGTGCATAAACTTTTTAATTTAAGGTAATCAAAATTATCCATTTTGCATTTCATAATGTTCTCTATCTCTTGTTTGGTCATAAATTCTTCCCTTCTCCATGAATCTGGCAGGTAGACTATTACTTGCTCTCCTGATTTGCTTATAGTCTCATCCTGTATGTCTAAATCATGTACCCAATTTGACCTTATCTTGGTATACATTGTAAGATGTTGGTCTATCCTAGTTTCTGCCATACCATTTTCCAGTTTTCCCAGTTTTTGTCAAATAGTGAGTTCTTATTCCAGAAGTTGGAGTCTTTGGGTTTATCAAACAGTAGATTACTACAGTCATTGACTTCTGTGTCTTGTGTACCTAACCCATTCTACTGATCCACCACTCTTTTCTCAGCCAGTACCAAATTTTTATGATTGCTGCTTTATGATACAGTTTTACATCTGATACAGCCATGCCACCTTCCCTCACATTTCTTTTCATCATTTCTCTTGCTATTCTGGACCTTTTGTCCTTCCAGAAGAATTTTGTTGTTATTTTTCTAGCTCTATAAAATAATTTTTGGTAGTTTGATTGGATTTCTCTATGTATTTGAGAAATGAGGTTTTTAGCAGAGAAACTTGCTGTAAAATTTTTTCAGTTATGATTACTATTTTCCTCCATCCTTTTCCCCCATTTATGCTATCCCTCCTCCTTTTACTTTGTCCATTCTCCAAAGTGTTTTGTTTCTGACTACTACCTCCTCCAATCTACTCACCCTTCTACCATCTTTCCTCAACCTCTTTCTCTTATCCTCTTCCCCTGCTACTTTCCTGTAGGGTATGATAGATTTCTATTCCCAACATGAGTATATTATTCCCTCTTTGATCCAATTCTGATAAAGAGTATGAACGTCCTTCATATTTCTCTCCACTGTAAAAGCTCTTTTGTACCTTTTTGTGCAAATTATGCGAGATAATTTACCCTATTCGATCTCTCCCTTTTCCCTTCTCCCAGTGCATTCCCCTCTCTCATCCCTTAATTTTATTTTTACTGATATCATCTCATCACATTCAACTCCCAACTCTGCCCTCTATCTATGTATACTCCTACCTACCCTAATAATGAAAAAGTCCTTAGGAATTACAAGTATTATCTTCTCATGTAGGAATGTAAATAGTTTCACCATATTGAATCACTTATGATTTCTCTTTCCTGTTTACCTTTTTATGCTTCTCTTGAGTCTTGTATTTGAAAGTATAATTTTCTATTTGACTCTGGTCTTTTCATCAGGAATGCTTGAAAGTCTTCTATTTCATTGAATGTCTATTTTTTTTTCTCCTGAAGGATTATACTTAGTTTTTTGGGTAGGTTATTCTTTATTGTCATGCTAACTCCTTTGTCTTCCAGAACATCATATTCCAAGCCCTCTAATCCTTTAATGTAGAAGCTACTAAATCCTGTGTGATCCTTACTTTGGCTCCATGATATTTGAATTTTTTTTTCTGGCTGCTTGCAATATTTTCTCCTTGACCTGGGAGCTCTGGAATTTGAGTATAATAATCTTGGGATTTTTCATTTTGGGATCTCTTTCAGGTGGTGATTGGTGGATTCTTTTAATTTCTATTTTACATTCTGGTTCTAGAATATCAGGACAATTTTCCTTGATAATTTCTTGAAAGATCATGTCTAGGCTTTTTTTTTTTTTTGGATCATGGCTTTCAGGTAGTTCAATAATTCTTAAATTATCTCTCCTGGATCTGTTTTCCAGTTCAGTTGCTTTTCCAAAGAGATAGTTCACCTTTTCTTCTATTTTTTTCATTCTTTTGATTTTGTTTTATTGTTTCTTGATGTTTCATGGAATCATTATCTTCTATTTGCCCAATTTTAATTTTTAAGGAATTATTTTCTTCAGTGAGTTTTTGTGCTTCCTTTTTCCATTTGGCCAATTCTACTTTTTGAGGATTTCTTTTTTTCTGTGAATTTTTGTACCACCTTTTCCATTTTGATTTCCTTTTTAAGGAATTCTGTTTAGTGGATTTTTGTGCCTCTTTTACCATTTGTCTTACTCTCTTTTTTAATATGTTATTTTCTTTGGTTTTTTGGTGCCTCCTTTACCAAGCTGTTGACCCTTTTTTCCATTATTTTCTTGCATCACTCTCATTTCTTTTCCCAATTTTCCCTCTACCTCTCTTATTTGATTTTTAAAATCCTTTATTTTGTGCCTGAGACCAATTTTTCTTTGAGGCTTTGGATGTAGCAGTTTTGATTTTATTGTCTTCTTCTGAATTTGTGTTTTGATCTATCCTACCATAATAGGAACTTTCTATGGTCAGGTTCTTTTTTGTTGTTTGCTCATTTTCCAGCTTATTCCTCGACTTTTAACTTTCTGTTAAAGTTGGGCTCTGCTCCCAGGATGGAGGGGGCATTGTTGCAAGCTTCAGGACTTTCTTGCTGCTGTTCTCGGAGCTAGTTCTGGGAGTTCATAAGTTTTCAGTTCTTCCAACATGGTATGATCTAAGGAGAGGTGTGACCACTGCTCTCCTAGCCTATGCTCTGGCCTGTGAGTGACCACAAGCACTCTTTTCCACCCTGGAACTGTGACCAGAGTCCTCACTCCCCTGCAGCTTCAAGTTCTGGTGTGCTAATGCTTATTGTGGGACTGAAACCCAGGTCTGTGGATGCTGGAGAGGAGTTCTTTTCTGCATCTGTGTATGAGTAATGCAACAGAGTCCTGCATCCAGTGACAACAAGGGGACCTCTATAATCTTGTAATTAGTTGTCTGACCTCCTTGCTGTCTGTGTGCTGAGAGCTCAGGAAGCCCCAGCTGTGCTACTTATTCTATTTCCCCCAAGGCCTGCTGCTAATTTGCTTGGACAGAGCCTAAGCTGGCTACACTGAACTGTGCTCCACTCTTACCTCGTTGTGACAGACCTTTCCTGCAAACCTTCTAAGTTGTGTTGGGCTGGAAAATTATTTCACCCCATCCTTTTTGGGTTCTGCCACTCTATAATTCATTTTGAGGTATTATTTGAAGTTGTTTGGAGTAGAATTTGGGAGAATTCAGGTGAGTTCCTGCCTTTTCTCTGCCATCTTGGCTCTGCCCTTGCTTGTATATTTTTTTGAGTCATTCTCTTCTTCTAAGTTTGAGTCTTGAGCTTCCTTGTTGCCATAGTAGCTCTTTATGACAGGACTATTTTTTTTGTTTGTTCATTCTTCAAGGCTACTTCTTCACTTTGAACTTTATGTTATTCCTAGGCTTTGCACATTTTGAGGGAAGTGGGGACATCCAGCATGAGCTTCTGTCTCCTTACCTCCTTCTACTGCTTTCATAGCTCTATTTGGGGTCCTGAAAGCTTTCTGTGATCCCAAAGTGTTATGATCCAGGAGGTGATCTGGTCACTGACCACCTTATCTGCAAGCTCCTGACACAGGTTTGAGTCTATTGGCTTATTTATTGTTAGGAGTTCCAATAGCTTGCCACTGGATTCAACCACTATTGGCATGCTGGGAGGCTCTGCGGGTTCAGAGTGGTTGAACTGATGGCTCCTTTTTGGTCTGGAATGCTGCATTCTTCTCCTGGGCTCAGACCCATATAGCTACCAGGTGCTTCCGAACTTGTTTTAGGCTCAGTCACTGCCAGAGCCAATGCTCACTTCTATCATTTTTCACCTTGGATGTTATTTTTCACCCTGGATCTGTGGCCCAACACTATGTGGTGGGAGGCATTCATTCCTGCACCCCAATACTTGCTGAGGAATTACCTGGGATCTCTTTCTGGTATTTTATCTAAGACCTCTCTCTGTCCCTGGGCACTGGAATGCTCCCCTCTTCTGCTGCTGCAGCCATGAGCTCATGGCTAGAACTCCTCTCCAGCATCCACTGACCTCTATCCATCTCCTTCAGTTGCTCTGGGCTGGAAAAATGACTCATTATGACTTCTTGGCTTTCTTGATCAGAATTCAGCATGGTGTATTTTATTGAGGAGGTGTGGGGACAGAACTAGACTCTAAAGCTTTCTTTCACTCTGCCATCTTCACTAGACCTCTGCTTTTTTCTTTCCTAAACCTCATTATAACCTCACTCTTTTTGTCAGTGACACTATTCATCTAGCTAATCTCTCATGTCCCAAACCTTAAGGTTTTCTTTGTCTTGGTTCTCTCCTTCTCATGCCAACATCTAGCTACTAATCTCTGTCAATACTACAGTCACAATATTTCTTGCACTCATGCCCTCATTTCTTTTTCCACTACCACCCTTGTCACCTTCCTAGGTTATTATAAAATCCTCATAAGTCTTTAATCTTTCATGTGTTTATTCTCTTCCCTCTCCAAACCATCCTTTTCACAGTTTTATCTTATGAGACAACTAGTTTTTGCACTTGCTAGAAAATAGTATAAAAGTAATGTTTGTATGTGTGTGTGTGTGTGTATGTGCATGTGTGTGTGTGTGTGTGTGTGTGTGTGTGAAATAAAGGCAGAAATATTTCTCAACCTCATTTGCATACAAATCAAGTAAGATCTTGGGATAGTAGATTTTATTGCCCTAACCGCTGTACAACTCCTGTAGCAATTTTTTTGACTAACATCTCTGAAATAGGTTATGTGAATAGAAGATTCCAATCAGGGATGTAACAAGAGTGAAAAGGAATGTAATCTTAAATCAGAATGTTGTATGGAACCACAGAGTTGGAATCAACAATGGACACAATAAAAGTGAATAAAAAGAATGAACAATCTTAGCTTCAGGTCTGTTTTGTAGGCCTTTGTTAGTTCTCCTTGGATAAGTATGGTGGCTTGAAGCCTTATGCTGTAGTTTAAATTTAATCTAATTTTCTGAAAATGCAGCATTTAGAACCAAAATATTCAAATCAAGCAGTTTTTTAAAATTTAAGTACACCAATACACAATAAACATGGCCTCTCTTGACCTTCATTATCTACAAAGGAACACTGAGTAAGTCTGGATGGAGGTGACTGTATGCTCCTTCAATCAGCAATTCCTATACTCTTTTCAAGATGGTGACACATCTGAGGTCCTGAGGCTGCTCCCCCTCCCATTAACTGCTGCCTGTTATACAAATGTACAAGGAATTGCTGCCTACTCTAATTGGGGCAGTTTGGTGGTGCAGTAGATAAAGTGCCTGCCCTGAAGTCAAGATGACTTGGGTTCAAATCTGGCCTCAGACACTTATTAGCTGTGTGACCCTGGGCAAATCACTGAACCTTGTTTGCTCCAGTTTCCTCATATGTAAAATGAGTTGGAGAAGGAAATGGTAAGCCACTCCAGAATCTTTGTCAAAAAAACCCCAAATGGGATCATGAAGAGTTGGACATGACTGAAAAATGACTTAACAAAACCTCTAAGCATATCTTAATTAAAAGATTTGTAAACCTTTTCTTTTGAGCTAGAGACCTAGCCACTGCATCTCAGTAGTTGGGAACACAAAGCCCAAAAGATGGTTCTGAAGGGCTGAAGCCCAACTAATATTAGAGGATAGCAGATTGATAATCACAAAACCAGCAGAGACATTCAGCTTGATGAAATCACTAGATAACATTAGGAGCTATGCAGCATTTGAAGACATGAATTGCCCCAGATGTGTTCCATATATGTATATATTTACACATACATACATATATGTGTATATATGTGTGTATATGTATGTATATATATACACACACATACATACATATCCTCTATATGTTTTCTTGGTTATAAGTGTTTTCTGCAGGTACCCCTTTGCTCACTGGTAATATGGTAACTTGTGGGAGTATATTTCATGTATTCATATGGTGATGTTTTTTCTTTGTCTTGTTATTTGTTATACTATTTCACTAAATGTCATGTTCTTTGAATTGTGTACTTCCTGGTTGGCTTACAACAAGTAAAAACATTGATGAGGATTCATGAACTATGGTTTGGAGAGGATACAGATCCTTAGAGTGCCTTGAACTTAGGATATCTTTTCAGGATGTCTACATGTGAAAGTACCCCAGGTGTTAAAACATAGACCTTGTTATATCACTCCTCTGCTCAAAATTCTTCGTTGTCTATTGCCTTTTTAGGAAATGCCAAATACTTGAAGATTAAAATTTAAAGCCCTCTATAAAAATCATTCAAGATCTTCTATAGTTTGGCATCACCATACCTTTCCAGATCTATGCAATACTATTCCCTGACACACATACAATGTTTTAGTCAAATTCTGTTTCCTTACAAAGGCCCTGGCTTTTCCACTTTTATGCCTTCAACTCATGCTGTTGCCTCATACTGGAATGGTCCCCATCATTGTATTTGCCTGTTGAGTTCCAATTTCTCTTCCTCACTCCCTTCCTCTTCTATCCTTTACCACTTACTTTAGAGGATCACAGATTTAGAGCTGAAAGAAAACTTAGAGATTCCTGGTCCAAATCATCATTTTACAGATGAGAAAACTGAAAGCCAGAGAGGTTATTGATTTGCCTGAGGATACATAGCTAACCAGCAAGTGAACAATACTTTGAAGCCAAGTCCTCTGACTCCAATCTGGTGTTCTTTTAATTATTTGACACTTCCTCAAAGTTCCATGAATTGTCTGATGCTGCAGTTAGCAGGAATCTTTACTGTCAGATCTCATAGCATTTTTTCACTTCTATTGTACATATGACAAGCCACATTGTATTTATAGTTATTTATGTATTGTTATGCTTCTCTCCCCAACTAGACTATGAACTCTGCTAGGGCATGGACTATGCTTTACCTAAACTTTCTAAGGATCTCAGAGATTTCCACAGTGCTTTGAACATAATGGATGCTTAATACATGCATTTTGGGTGAATTTTTCTTGGTTTCTTTCTCCAGTTCTCATTCAGTCACCAAATGTTGGTTCAGTTTTACTTTGTATCCAGAACTTTGTTAGAAACTGTTGGAGCTACATAAAAAAGAAGTATAAGACTTGGTCCCTACTCACATGAAGTTTACAATCTCTTTCCCCCTGTTCTGTGTTCTGTCTCCATTTATCTCAAAATGTTATCCATTTCTCCCACCTCTCCCTTACCTTTGCTTGAAGCGCTGACTCTCAGTCTCCTGCCCTGTGTCTATGTCATAGAATACAGAACTGGAAGGCAACATTTCAACACAGACTTTCTGACTCCAAATCTGGTACTTGTTTCATTAGGCTAGGTCCCGTCCATCCATCCCTGTGCTACCGGTAGTCCATATATCCACCTGTTCCTATACCTCTCCATCTTTTCTTCTGGCATCTCTCCTTTCCCACTTAACTTTTCTTGATCTCTTCTTTAAATCCTCACCCCACTCCCTTCACTCGTACAATATCCATCCCTCACCCCCCTGTTCTACTCCCAGGCTTAGCGTCCTTCAGACCTACCCAGCTTCTATTTGTATGTGTCCATCTCTCTTTCCTTCCCATACTCTGTGCTTTCAGCCCTAGTCACTAGTCTCTTCTCCCAGTCCCTCAGCCCAATTTTCTTCTCTAGGTTAAGCTTGGTTTCTCTCTGTCTTATTCCCTGTTTTCCAGTATTCCCCCCCCCCACACTTTTCAGCTCTTGACTCACAAAGCGGTTTCTCTCTGCCTCCCTCTCCCCACCTCTCTCTTCCATCACGGTGGGCGGTCCAGGGCGAGGCCGGGATCCGGGGCGGTACCCGGGGCTCCGGTTGTGGGCGGCGCCCTCTCCCCTGTCCCCCTCCCTGTCCTCCGTTCCACCCTCCCTCTTCCCTCCGCCCGGAGGTTCCCGGGTCCCCGGCGCCGCCTACTCTCTTCCCGGCTCCGGGCTCCTGCTACAGCCGCTGCCCGGGGGAAGGAAAGACTGGGGGGGGTTGGGCAGAAGAGAGGGAGAGGAAGGAAAAGACCCCTGCTTGGCCCAGCGCTGTGTACTGGAGGCAGGAGGGAAAAGAGGAGGAGGAGAAGGAGAAAGGAGTGGGGGGGGAGGGAGGAGCGGCCCGGCCTGGGGCCCTGAGGCCCGGGGAGAGGCGGGGAGCTGGGCCAGGGAAAGAGCCGGGTGAGCTGGGCCAAAGCGCCGAGGTAAGAGAGCCAAGGGCCTGGAGGGAGGAGGGTAGGGAAGAGAGACGGAGGAGAGGAAAGGACATGGGAGGAGATGGAGGAAGAAAGGGGAAAGGAAATAGGAAAAGAGGAATGGGGAATGGGGAGCAGGAATGGAAGGAAATACGGAAAGGCTGGGGGGGAGGATAGGGTAGGAAGTGGGTAATAAGAGGCTACAAGGAAGGTGAAAAATGAGGTAGGGGACAAATGGTGCGGAGGAGAAAGATGGAAAACGGGATGTGGGAGATGCCGTATAGCAGATGAGAGTGGGAAATGGGTTCCCGAGGAGGGGGACAAGGGGGTACGGGGGTGATGGTGGTAAGGTAGAGTCCCAAAAGGATGTGGGGTACCTAGGAAAAGAGGAAGAGGGAGGGGACATAATCTCTCTTCTCCTCCCCCTCAACCCGACTTGGCGCGGTGCTCCGCCTCTGCCTCCTCCACGGGGCGCTGTCCACACGTCCCGATGCTGAATCAAGCAGCAGCCAGGGAAACACTGTAGGACCTAGGAGGGGAATGAAAGACAGAGCCGCACCCCGTCCGGTCCGCTTCCAGTGAGGTTCAGTTCTGTCCTAACCTGGATGCCTCTTATCCAGATGCTGCTGCTGCTACTGCATCTCCTTCTTCCCTTGGGTTCTGATGGGGCCCAGAACTCCAACACAACCTCAGAAGGTGCACCTTTCTCTAAAATCTCTCCAGATACCTGACCACTCCCACTGGCATTTCCCTGTTTCCATGCTTTTACATTCACTATCTCAACCCAGCCCATCTCTCCCTTCATTTTAACTTAGCTCGGACAACCCATTTTATCCTTTTCTTCTTACTATACTCCATTTCCTTTCCCTACCCTACTTGAACAACTCCCAATTCTTTCCCTGATCCTATTGGCTTCTTGTTAAACTCCCAAATCATAGTCAGTCTTTCTGTTCCCATCTTCCCTCTGGCCCGTCTTCCTAACCTTTAACACCACTCCCATCCCTTCCCTCTACTCCCTCGTGACATTTCCCATTGATCCTTGCTCTCTTGCATCACGTTTCTTTAAAACTGACTACCTTTTCCCTTTCCCCTACACCTCTGACAGGCTGCCAAATCATACACCCACCATGGGAAGGGGGGATCCGCTACAGGGGCCTGACCCGAGATCAGGTTCGGGCAATCAACTTCCTGCCTGTTGACTATGAGATTGAGTATGTGTGCCGGGGGGATCGTGAGGTTGTGGGTCCCAAGGTTCGAAAGTGTCTCTCCAATGGTTCTTGGACAGATATGGACATGCCAAGCCGGTGTGGTGAGTAAACTTGCAATGGCTCCTTTTGCCCTTCCTTTTCCTCAAGGAATCCTTCTCCTTTTCCCTCTCACTCTGCTCCCCCCAAACTCCTTGGCATTGCAATCGTGCAAGTAAGGATTTTAAATAAGATAAAAATAAATATTTAGAGAGCTGTGCTATGTGCTGTTAGGGATATAATGAAGTCATCAGCCTGTAGCATTCTTTCCATATTCTCCACATAGTACATTATGGCTATGGCTAATTGAATTTTTCTTATTTTACTTTGATTATTATTGGTGGCACCTCACAAAAATAAATTCGTAAATCCATAATTTAACCATATCACCCCATCACACTCTTGGCTACTCCCATCTCCCAGTGTAGCTACACATATTTACTACATCATGATGCAGTAGAAAGAGTCCTGGATTAGGAGTTAGAGGACTTGGGTTCAAATCCTTGCTCTGCTACTTGCTAACTGTGTTACTTAAGGCAATTCTCTTAAGCTGATTAGCCATCAGTTTCCTTATCTGTAAAATGAGGGCATTGGAGAGATGACCCCAAGTTTCCTTCCAGCTCTAAAGCTATGGTCCTATGAACTTGATTTTAATATTAGATTAAGTAACTTTTGGGAAAGATGTATCTACTACTTATGAAAAAGAGAAATTATTGTTGTATTATCTATAATTTAATAAGTATTTAATTAGTATGTACAACTGAGTTTTAACTTTTATAATCAACTTCTTGACAGTAAGAACATGTCTTATTTTTCCTGTTATCGTTAGGACCTGGTATAGTTCACCAAATATAATAGCTACTTAAAAGCTTGTTTAATAAATTAATATTTAGAAAGGGCCTCTCTCTGGTTCTTTCTCTCTTGGGATCTTGTCCTTTCCTTCCCCCACTTACTTGGAAGCATTCTGTCCATGCCTCCATATCTCCAATCCAGCTTCTTTCCTGCTCATTGAAATGAAAGAGCTTTCTTCTTTGATGCATATATTAAAGCAGATACATGGGATTATATGTATCAAAGGACAAAATCCATTATATATGTGTATATATGTGTGTATATATATGTATACATATATATGTATATTGTGTATACTTGCCTCTCTCTTTCTGTTTTTCTCTCCCCGTTTCTTTACAGTACGTACCTGTTCCAAGTCTTATCTGACACTGGATAATGGGACAGCTTTCCTCAGGGGAGGGAACCGTCCAGCCCTGGATGGTGCCTGGGTGGATTTCAGATGTGACCCCGGTTTCCATCTAGTGGGCAGTTCTCGAAGCATCTGTGCCCGGGGACAATGGGACACCCCGAAGCCCTCCTGCCAGGGTGAGGGGAACAAGCACTTGGGTGTATTTTATGACAACAATTTTTAGGGGATATGTCCTGAGTAGGGTTGGGTGGGGATGGATAGGGAAGAGGATACAGATGTTAGGGAGAATGAATGGGGGGGGAGAGAGAGAGACTGAAATAATATTCTATCCTCTCTTCCTGTAACCCAGCCTCCACTCCTTTAATTACAACTTCGCTTCTCTAACTTTGTCCACCTCTGGGCTTTACTCTTTTTTCTTTTTCTTTACTCCCCATCTTTGACCCTTAACTTTTCACTCTTTCTCAGTCTGTCTCACCTCACTCTTATAAATACTCCATTGCTTTCTCCATAGTCTTACTGTTTCTCTATGAGTTTCTCTTTGTACTTTAAGGCTCTTTCACCCTGCTCCCTGGACCCCATTTTCTTATTTTTGCCACCAAATTTCCTATACCATTCCCTGAAGTATTCAGGTTCTACTTAAAGAAAATGATTCCAAAATTTAGAATGGGGAGGTTGGGCTGGGAGGGGAGTTGGGAAAAGGGAATATAACATTTGGGAGCCAACCTAGGAGGACAGGGATTTTATAGTAAACTTATTTTACCAACTCAAGCTTTTTAGTCCTTAGATCTCCTCCCTTAGCCTCTTTCTTAAAGAGATTCTGGTGTTTGGTCCTCCATCATTCTCCCCCACCCCCACCCCACACACATTTTTTCCATTCTATCAGTACCCAGGCATCCTGTTTCTTTGTCCCAGATTCCCTAACCTTATATGCTGCTTTTCCCCTTAAGATCCTGGTCTTACCCTTCAACCTCTGGCTTTCCTCATTGGACCCTAAATCTACATGATGCCCATTATTCCTTGACACTCAGCAATCTCAACCTTAGCTTTTGGCTCTCCTTCCCCAAACTCTGCTCTACTACTGAGAAAATACAAGTTCTGACTTCCAGCCCCAACTTGCTCTTATCCCCAGACACCCTCCCTTCCCAGAAACTCAGGCGTTCTGCTCTCCCAAGTGCTCGACTTGCACAGGTGTGGGGGGGTGTGATGGGGATCGGGCCGGGGAAAGCTGGGCATCAGTGATAACTCTTCTCTGCATCCTCGTCTTTCCTGCTGCCAGTGAAGAGAACCACATACACAGGTGAGACTAGAAAACCAATATTCCATTTAACGTACCACCTTCCCTTTCTCTGCCCTAGACCACGAGATCCCTTCCTCATTCTGCTCTCTTAGCCTCCTCTTGCTCTACTTGATTCCTCTTCCCTCTACCAGTTCTTCCTATGGGTTGTGGTGTCCACTCCCATTCCACTCTCCCATCCTCCACTTCCAGATTCCCTGCCTCCCCTTAACTTCTCCTCCCTGATCCTATTCATCGAATGTCAGGATACCAGCAGGAGGACAGGGTGCACATCTTTCATCCCTCCATTCATTTTCTTAACGACCTCTTTCTTTTACCCAAACTTTGCCAGTACCCTCTCTGAAGTGCTCTCCTAATCCAAATGACCCCTGCCTCATGCTTCCTCAACCCTGTCTTTATCAATCTATAACACTAATCCTAAATACTACTGCCAAAGATCCCATATAGTCTGTCCATCACTTTCCTTCAACTGTACCAAGTCCTTTCCCCAATGTCCCATTTCTTTGCCCCCCAAAACACCCCCATCACTTCTTAGCCCTCCAACTGTTCCAATATCCTTTCCCTAACTCCCTTCTCTATTCCAAATTTTCCTTACCATTCATTAATCTCTCCCTAAACCCTTCCTCATTCTGTGTTCCTGGCTTCCCACTCCATTCTCCTCCTCTACCTCCCTCTTCCCTTTCTGATCCTCTTCAACTCTTCACCCATCCCCCCTTCCTCTCCGTCACCCCCACCCCGCAGTCCATCCACCTTCCCTCCCCCACTTCTAGCGCCCCACCACGTCCCTTCCTCACCTTTTCTCACGTGCTCCCCTCCCTCACTCCTCTCCCCGCCTTCGCTCGCCCCTCTCCCCTCTCAGCACGCTGCAGCTCCTAGCTTCCTTCTGGACCAGAGAGCTCTTCTTTCCTTTCCCGCCCCGCATCCTCCCTTTCAATCGCCGCCCCTTGCGCCCCCTGCGGCCGCGCCGCCGCCCGTGACGTCAGAGCCCGCCCCCTCCCCGCCTCTTGCCCCTTCCTCCCCCCTCCCCATAGCTTCCTCCTCCTTCCCTCGCTCAGTCAGTCGGCTATAGGAGAGTTCGCTGCAACGGCAACGGGTGCGGCGGGGGCTTAGGGAGACCAGACCCTGAGTCCCCTCTCCCCTCCCTTTCCCCCAAATTCGGGATGGAGACGTCTCCTCAGTCCCGATTCCCCCTCCGCAGCCCCCCCTAAAAAGTGTCTCCCCTGAGGTTCCCCACTCCTTCCCCCAAACAGCCCCCTCCGCTGGCCATGGGCCCGGGGTCTCCCTCCCTTAGGGTGGGTTGGCCTCTGCTGGTGGGGATGGTGCTGGTGGTGGGGATGCCTCTGGTGTGGGCCCCTCACTCTCCCCCGCGGCCCGGGCTCCCACACCCTCACCCGCACCCCCGGGCCCCCTCAGCCCCCTCCTCAGGCCGGCGCGCCGTCTATATCGGGGCGCTGTTCCCCATGAGCGGGGGCTGGCCCGGGGGCCAGGCCTGCCAGCCGGCGGTGGAGATGGCGCTGGAGGACGTGAACAGCCGCAGGGACATCCTGCCCGACTACGAGCTCAAGCTCATCCATCACGACAGCAAGGTAGCCCCCCGGGATGTGGGTGCAGGGGACAGTGGCATTTGGGCTGGGGGCACTGCTCAGGCCAGGGAAATGCATATACCTGGGATTTAAGCTGAGACTCTAGCATCACGAGGCAGAGCCCAGCCCCCTCTTCCATGTGGGGGTATGGAGTTTCGGAGGACCAGAGGGTACCGAGAGACTTAGGATCATCTTGAGGAGCTAGGGGTCCAAGGTAATCTACCTAAAAAAATAATCTGAATTTTCTCGTGCAGGGAGTGTGGGGGCATGGGAGGAAATGGTATATAAAGGAGGGGGAGGGGAGGAGGGACTTGGAGAAGGAAATAGTTTCGGGGTACAAGCTGAGCTTACACAATATCAAGGTAATTGTTATGATGTAGGAACCTGAGGTGGGGGTTGGGGCGATTTAAGCTATGAGAAGAAATAACGTACAAGGGAGAATGAGGGCTAGAACTATTCAGAACAGGATTGGGGTGGGGGAGACCCAGGGACATCCTGAGCTAGAAACTCAGTGACACCAAGATAGACCTGAGGGTCTGGGGGAGGAAATAGGGAGAAATACGGTTATGGAGGGAGGGGTAAGAAGAAGGGTGTGGGGGTGGGGTAGGAATGGAAGTAGTTGCAGAGCAGGATGTAGGCTCAAACTCATTACCCTCCACTCCAAGATATCACCTATGTAAGTGAGTGGGGGTCAAGGGAGGGGTGGGGGCAGGGTACAGGAATGAGAAGAAACCTTGGTAGTTATTAGGAACTAGAGATCATGATTAATTTTCTTAGCAGTAAGGTGGTAGGTAAGAGAGAAATGGTGTTTGAAGAGAGCTAGGGACAGGGGCACAAGTTTATCCTCCAAGGAGAGAAACAGTCTCCCATTCCCCAGCAATGTGGGACATGTGATACTGAGAATGAAGATTTGGGGAAAAATTCAGGGACGTTCTAATAGATTAGGCATACTCCATGACAGGTAACCCCAGATGCAAAGAAGGGTATTGGAGGTGTATGAAAAAGTATGGGGAGAGTAATAAAATGGTGTGCAAGGGGTAGAATTAGCTTAGTGATATCCTATATGACTCTGACCTTATGCTGATTCTTTAGGATAGCAAAGTAAACCCAGAGGTATGAGTCTTCAGGGCAACTTGAGTGAGGTGAAGTGCCAAGGTAGGGGCAATAGAAGAATGACAAAACCAACCATGGCCCTTGGCTAACCCCTGAGAAGATCAGATAACCCCAGGATACATGGGAAGAGCAAGTTAATACAAGAGAAGTAAAAAAGTACAGGGAGAGTTGGAGGTTAGGTAAAAATGAGGAGGTAGGGAGGAGATCTCATTTAAGAGGTCATACTGAGTATGAGAAGCAAAACAATCTTGTTTGGAAGAGAAAGGGAAATAACTGGATACAGGAAAGAATCATGGTGAGGGATGGCATACAAGAAGATCCCTTCTGAGCCAAGATCACAGGGAAATGAGAGAGACCTGACTATGAGCTCAAATTCATCTACCATGACAGGTGATTCTCTGGAGGTGTAGGGGGAGCAGATGGGGGGACATGGGAGATGGAGCTAGAGGAAAAAAATAGAAGTGGAAGGTAGGGGGAAGGGGAGAAAGAAAAATGTTTTTCCTGACTACAGATCCAGATTCACTGCAATAGAGAGGAGAGGTAGACTATGGAGGAGGGGAAGTAGTGGTAATATATGAGTCTCTTAACCCATAATGAGCCAAATACATACTTCCCTAACCAATAGGTGTGGAAGAGAGAAAGGAAGTGTAGGAAAAGGTGGAAAAGATGAAGAGAAAGATGAAAAGAAAAAGAGAGAGAGACAGGGAGGGAGGGAGAGAGAGAGGAAGAGTAGTGCCCCACTCACAAGGAAAAGTAATGTTATATAGTGCTTTATTTTAAAAAAGGACTTTCATATGTACTATTTCATTGAAACATAGGTTATTGGTCATGACAACTTTTACCTTGGGTAAAAAATTAGAGGAATATTGAGAGGGTTCAGAATTTGGCACTGGGGAGAGGCAAGGAAAGGAACTGGGATAATAAGTGATATCTATCTGGAAGAAGGGGGCCTCTAAGAGTGAAGAATAGTCTGGAAGAAGATTCTAGAAAATGAGGGGATGAGAAAAAAAACCCCATAAGAATATTGTTGAGAACTGACCTTCATAGGGGGTGGGGGTAGGGTGGTTAAGTTTTAATTGAATGTTGTTTCTTCACTTTGTGCTAACCTCCCTGTAGTTCCCTCTGATTTCCTGATTTCCTACAGTGGCCCAAATGTCAAACCTTAGTGGGGAAGGCGGTATCTCCAGGGGGCCACATTTATTTCCTTTCTACCTGCCCCTATGTTTCACCATCTCCGGGCCCCTTGTGCTTCCTACCTCTATCTCTCTTATGCCCCTGCTCCCCTATTGGGTTTCTGCAGCTTTTGAAAGGTCAAACTTCAGTATGAAGAGAACATGTACTGAGACCTGTGGCTCATACTGGCTCCCTTTAACCCCCTTTCTTTCTCTTTATTTACCCTTCTCCCTTTATCTCCCTCTCTCTTCTATCCCCTATCCTCTACTGTCAGTTTCCTCTCCCAGACCCCAAAGTATCTTTCCATTCTCTTCTGTACTCCCCATCTGTTTCTTGTCCTCTTGTTCCTTTTTAGGTCCCTGATTCCTCCCATCCCTCAATTGTTTCTCTTTTCTGAAGTACCACTCAAAATGTCAGGACACAGTAGGGGGGGATGGATAGCTGAGATTCCCATGGTGTCCCTCCTTCTGTCCTTTTCTCTTATCTCTTACCAGTCCTGAAGAGAGATAAGGGAAAAATATGGAGTGAGGGAGAGGAAATTTAAAGTGGGGTAGGGGATTATGGGGATTTTATTTATATTCTTATTCATTCTTTTCTATTCATAGAGAAGTCTGAGGAAGCAGGGGAAAGTGTCTGGGGATCAGCAGAGAGGGATAAAAAGGAAAATAGTCTCATGGTTAAGAGGAGGGGAAAAATGACATGAGAGGATGCTATTTGATAGAATAGAGAGGAAAATGGATGATAGGCAAGTACATCTGGAGAAGGAAGAGGCACAGAAGGGTAATGAAGGAAACAATCTCAGAGCAGGAATAGGGAATAATGATGTCTTAAATTGAAAGAGAATGGGAATGAAGGAGAGAGGCGTCTGAAGTAAGATTGCTCCCTGATTTCCTACCTTTCCTATGCAGTGTGATCCTGGACAAGCTACCAAGTACCTATATGAGCTGCTCTACAATGATCCCATCAAGATCATCCTCTTGCCAGGCTGCAGCTCTGTCTCCACCCTTGTAGCAGAGGCTGCCAGGATGTGGAACCTCATTGTGGTGAGCTAGGGTGTGGGTATTTATCTAGGAAATTCAGCCTGTAGGAGTGATTTAGTTGGGAGGTAGGGGCCACACTCTTTGACTGTATGAATGAATGCTTGGGATCTTGCTATTTTTGAGAACACAGTGGGGAAAATGGTCCCAGGTTCAGAGACTACTGAAGACCAAATCTACAAACCTCCCACTCTGACTTGTATCCCAGGAATGTTAAGACAGTTACAGTTGCTTGAAATATGATAATTTGGGGACTCAGCTAGTTTCTCTAGCAAGATGATTTAGTTAGATCTGGGGAAAAACTTCCCAATTTTGAGGTGAACATGAAACTTTTGTAGGAATGACTGAGAGAGTCAATGGTATCTCTTTCCATAGGACTATCTTGGCACAGAAGAAACCCTATGTCTGTGTGACTAGTGAGAAGGGAGAAAAGGAGAGGGATCAATTGACTTCCAATAACCCTTAATCGCTTAGACTCCATGTTGAATAAGTCTTATTCTACCACTCTCCTCTCTTTCAGCTTTCTTATGGTTCAAGCTCACCAGCCCTCTCAAACCGGCAACGTTTTCCTACTTTCTTTCGAACTCATCCATCAGCCACCCTCCATAATCCTACCCGGGTGAAGCTCTTTGAAAAGTGGGGTTGGAAGAAGATTGCCACCATTCAGCAGACCACTGAGGTCTTCACTTCGGTAAGGGAGGTGGAGACTGGGTTCAAAGGTTGGGGTGAAGCTATCTAAACCACAGTGGGAAGAAATATAATGGTGGTCACTTCCCTATTGTAAATGAAGGATGGACAAGCATTTTATTAAACACTTACCAAATGTTTAACACTTGCCAAGCACTGTATGAAGTTCATAAAAAGAGAAGTCATTTCTTAGGTGCAATAGCTGAAGTTTTTAATCCAAGGGTTCTGTCATTCTCCTCTTGATGCTCTCACCTTGTAAATCAGAAGACAAATAATTGTTCAGATCTTTTGGAGATTAATCCTGCTCTCAAAGATAGGAGAGGAACACAGGAACAAAAGTGCAAATAGAATCAGAAAGGAGAGGTAGGTGTGTGTGATTGTGAAAGTAAAGGGAAGAGGGATGGACACAAAGAAAAGGAGGCAGGTAGACAAAGATACACAGATGATCATACACATTGAGTAGAATAGACACATAGAAAAGGGCACTGACAATGGAAATGCTGAGAAAATTAATTGAAGGAGAGAGGCTGGAGGGGGAGTGGAGAAAGAAATACATAGCTCTACACCTGAGGAAGAGAGACATCATTGGGTCTGTATTTATCTCTCTGACCTTATTCTTTTGAACCTGTGTCTACTCTCCTACTTAGCATTGCTTGCTTTCTTTTACTCTGGATACAACTCTGATTTTCTTGTCCATCTTTACACTTGTTTCTCCCTGTCCACTAATTATCTATCCATATCACCTCCTATAATGGAAACCCTGCATGGGTCTCCACTAACTTTTATGTCCTTCCCAATGACCTCTAGTCAATGAAGGTCCTGTTCTACACTCTACTGATGTAAAAATCTGATCAGTTTTGTCCTAAAGGTTCCACTGGCAATCTCTAACCTTATTGACCCCCTTAGTCCTTTCTGCCACATAAGGATGCCCCCAGATTCAGTATCTCATATTCTTCCTACTTCTCTCATTCTCATTCCTAAGCATAAATAGTTTAGGAAAGTTTATTTACCTTCTTAAAGGGTAGCAGAAAAAAAATTACAGATTCTACACAGGGGACAAGATACTATGGTACTGGGATAACTTTGTAGTTAGCTGACCAGTGGGGTCACTGGCCAATTTTCTCCTCAAACCTTATCTAGAATTTGAGCCTGGTACTGAGGCCTCATGGCTTCTGCCATGAATAACTTAGGAAACAAATTCATTCTTTCTTTGAATTGTGTGTGTGTGTGTGTGTGTGTGTGTGTGTGTGTGTGTGTGTGTGTGTGTGCACGCGTGCGTCGAGCTTGTTTTTCTGTCTGCTTTCTGCCTGTGGTTTTCGTCAAGGATATAACTAAATAGGGGAGTAGATGAATGAGGAAACTGCCCTGAACATCACCTTGTACGTAGATACTCTGTATGTATGAATGCCATTCTTTCCTACCTCATATGACTCTGCCTTAGGGCAAAAGAGATCTTGTGGGGGGAGAGTGTATGAAAGTACTATTCTAAGAACACGTATTAGGTATACAGGTCCCAAGTTAATGCTTTTTGTCCTTACTCAAAGTATACTCCATATTTCCCCCAATTGTTTGTTGCCCTCCTTATCAGACTTTGGATGATCTAGAGGAACGTGTGAAGGAAGCAGGAATTGAGATTACTTTTCGCCAGAGCTTCTTTTCTGATCCAGCTGTGCCTGTCAAGAACCTTAAGGTACAATAGAAAAATAAATAGGGGTCTGGGACAACCTGAACCCCAGGAATTGGTGAAGATGACAAAAGTTGATTCAGGGGTTAGTGAGGAAAGTCAGCCTGGGCAACAAGAAATCTAGGTCCTGATACTGAAAGGGAATGGTTCATCTCACTAATTCAGTTAATATCAATCAGACACTTAACTATATGTGAATTACTGTATTAGGGACTTTGGGAGACTCAGAGCTCTTTAAGGATCTCTGCCTCTCTTCCTTCTGCAGCGCCAGGATGCTCGAATCATCGTGGGACTTTTCTATGAAACTGAAGCTCGTAAAGTTTTCTGTGAGGTGGAGCTGAACTCTGAAGAGGGAGGGTGGGCAGGGAGGACACATCAAGCTTTGGTTTCTCATGTTATCATTTTTGTACTCTTCTGTCCAAGCATTTTTATGATAACATGCCTTAGTACCTGGTAGTCACATCTTGTAGTTTTTCTGCCATTACTTTCTTCAAATACTGTTGTATTCTATCTCAGTTTCCCGTGGGGTACTATGAATTAGTAGAGGGCATTAAGGAGGGCCCTCTGAGGGGGAATTTATGGGATTTTCCTGTTCTTTCTACCCCTGAAACTTGTACATGTCATGTTTTGCCTCTTCTTTTTTTTCTCTTATTCTCAAGGAGATGGTCAGGGGTTAGAGCAAATCTCCTCTATACTCAGGTTTACAAGGAGCGTCTCTTTGGAAAGAAGTATGTCTGGTTCCTCATTGGCTGGTATGCTGATAACTGGTTCAGAACCCCAGACCCAGCCATCAACTGCACTGAGCAGGAGATGGCAGAAGCAGTAGAGGGACATGTCACCACGGAGATCGTTATGCTAAACCCTGAGAACACTCGTGGTATCTCTAACATGGTGAGAAGTGTTTGGGGTTGGGTAGTTAGTAAGTATGTAAAGTCGGTCAGGGTCTGGGTGCAGGGGTTATAACTAAGAGAATGATGGTGTAACTGAAACTCGGGAGTCAGGGTTAGGGAATGTGGCCACTTTCCTGTTCTGAATATGCTTGAATGGTAGTTACTGTAGGGTCTGCCTCTGTTGTGGTTGCTCTGGAGATGGGTGGGGGTAGGGAATCAAGTTCTCAGTATGCTCAGTGTGCTACTGAAAGGGGGGGGTGACTGTCACCATGGAGATGAAGAGAAGTTGGAACTGTGTAAAGGGAGGGCAGTGGAGTTAATACTTAGTTCCTTGGATGTGCAACTGTACCTTGCTTGGCAGTCATTCTGTTCCTGAAAAGCTGGGTATAAATCAGATTTAATTTTCCCAGGGACTTATATTACTTAGATGTTTTATCATTTTTTCTGATTGATACTCAGCCTGGTTTCTAATGCTTTCTTTAAATTTTTATGTTAAGTGGTTAATGGTTTGTAAATAAATACTTAAAAGAACTAAGGAAGTTAGTGAATGAGGTTTGTGTGTGTGTGTGTGTGTGTGTGTGTGTTTGTAAAGCAAAACCATCTAATTTATCTGTTTTGTATATTCTTATGTATATTGATTCAGTAAACATTTACTGAGAGCTTAGAAGGCAGAAGCCTTGCCCTTTAGGAATAAACAGTCAATTTGGGGAAACACAATGAACCACATAAAACATTTATGGTAACAATTCACGGCAATATAAAAGCGCCAATGTGAGTGTTACAACTAAAGCTGTGGGAGTTCAGAGAAGGGGAAGAACTGATGGACTGAAGAAGTTGGAGAAAGCTTCACTGAGGTAATAAGATTGGCCTAGTCCTTGAAGGACGGTATTTAGAGGAGGGGAGTGACATATATTTAGAACTGGAAGGGAACTCAGGGGCCAACTAGTCCAATCCTTTCATTTAAATATCTATATCTATATACCTATATACTTATATGTTCATTTATTTCTTTTTAGTTTTCAATATTCATTTTTATAGGATTTTGAGTTCTAAATTTTTTATCCTCTGCCCTTCCACCTCCCCAAGATAAGATGCAATCTGATATAGGCTATACATGTACAAGCATATTAAACATATTTCCACATTAGTCATGTTGTGAAAGAAGAATCAGAACAAAAGGGAAAAACCATGAGAAAGAAAAAAAGAGAAAATAAGATGCTTTGATTTGCATTCAGACTCCATTAGTTCTTTCTCTGGAGGTGGCTAGCATTTTCCATCATGAGTCTTTTGGAATTGTCTTAGATCATTGCATTGCTGAGAAGAGCTAAATCTATCAAAGTCCAGTCCTTTCATTTTACAGTGAGGAACTCTTGATGTCTTGAGAGATGAAGAGGCTTGCTCAAGGTCACATAGGTAGTAAATGACAGAAGCAAGGTTTAAACCCAGGTCTTCAGACTCCAAAAGTCACTCTGAGAGACAGTCAATTAGTTATAGAGAATAATTCTCCAATTCTTTCTATTTCCCCTCTTACCTTCAGAGTAATGCTTGAATTTGGAAAGCTCCTAATCCTCAGATGGAGGGATCTGAAAAATGAATCACCAAAGGGAGTTTGGGGAAAGGGGATAGAACCAGTCAACTGAGCCAAGAAAGGCCTTTTCTTTCATTGAGTTCAGGACCTGTCAGTCATCCCTGCTCTGCAAATGAAATGCCAACTACAAGTACTCTCAGAGAGGAAATAAGAATTTAATAGGCCTTTCAAAAATGTTGCTCAGGCTTTGAAATAGGAAATGACAGGGAATTTGGTTTTGGTTGTTTGAGGGAACTGGTATCATGTAGATAGGTTCTCAAGTATGATGACATTCCCCATCAAGGCCACCATGCTAGGCTTGGTTGCTCGCTTAGAATAAGAACTAAAGTTATTTAGCTTTATCAAAGGGTAGAATTGGCCTTAACTGCCTAGAGAGTAGGCTTTAGGCATACTGAACAGGACAGAAAAATGGGGGCAAGTCAACGTAAGATGGCTTGAATCCTAACAGAAAAAAATCTTCAAAGTAATGTAGGAAAGGACCTTTTGGCAGGAACCCAGAGTAACTATACTGTGAAATGTAAGGAACACCAGGGCCAGAGGGTCTGACATTCAGAAATAAGGCTAGGAAGCAAATTCTGGAGGGACTGTGAATTCTGTCAGGCTCAGTAGCTGGTTTTATGGAATTGTGAATCCCACCAGCTTTAGCAGCAGTGCCAAGCCAAGTCGATCTTGAGCCAGAAATTTCTGTATTTTGGTCTAGCATCCGTTCTCACACATCTAACCCAGACAAGGATGAGGTGAAGGAAAGAGAGGAAAAAGCTGGCTTCCTGTGAGCTGTGCCAGCAAACTGATCTCTGGCTAGGTGGTAGGAACAGAAATCTGTACTCTGTAGACTTGTTCATTTTTATATGCTTTGTTTTGCTTATTGTTTTCTATTAGTTCCTCAGTAAAAGTTTCTTTTGAAAACTATGGCAAATTGGCAAAAGGAATTTTTCCACAAGTGTTAAAAAGATTAGGTAAATTAGGCTAGACAGGAGTGGCAGTGTTTATTCCAACTCAGAAATCAGTAGAACTAGGGCCGTTTTAAGGTAGGAGAAAGGGAAAAGGGATTGAGAGTTTAGCTGGGCTGAGTATTTGGTTGGGATCATCACCTGTGGATGCTAATGCCTTCTTCCCAAGGAAATTTAAAGTAGTGGTTAAGATCGATTGTAATGGGGAGAGAATGGAAAGAGGGAAACCATTTCAAAGGTGGATGTCATTGCTCAGGCCTGGAAAAGGAGAGTCACAGTGGGAATAAATAAGAAACAAATCTGAATGAGATCTCAAAGGGAGAATTGACAGGATTTGATCATTGGTTATAGAGAAAAAGAGGTGATATTGATTCCAAGGTTTTCAAGCCAGTATGATTGGGAGAATGGTGGAAATAGAGAAATTGTAAGGGAGAGCTAGTTTTTTTGGGGAAAGACTAGTTCAATTTTGGTCATAATGAGTTTGAAGTAATGGGACATTCAAGTAGAGATGTTCTATGTTGGTAATAAAACAAACAAACAAACTAGACCTGAGGTGAGGTGTGCATAGGACTTAAAAGCTGGAAAGGACCTTAGAAGTCATATAGTAGAGCAACCCCTTCATTTCATAAAGGAGTAAACAGGCCCATGGAAATAAATAATTTTCCTGAGGTAAATAGCAAAGCAGGAATTCAAACTTACAACCTCTGACTCTAAATCCAATTTTCTTTTCACTCTCTTTCTAGGCCTTAAACTGATGAGTTCTGAAGGAAGTTTGTGTATCAATATAGAAGGAACCCTCTTAAACTTCTGCCTATCTCTCCCTTTCCCCTTGTCCATATCCATTTTTTACCCTTTGCTGATCCTTAATAATCCAAAGTCTTTATGAATTAATCTATTTATATGTGTTTCTGTAGTAGGAGCTAATCAAACTAAATTAAAATAACTCAGTGCCCTCATTCTACATATTTGTTTTATAAGCCATGACAGACATATGGATACAGGCCAAAACAGATGGATAACAAGAAGGAAGCATGGTATAATGGAAAGAGTAAGGGCTCTGGGGTCAGAGGACCTGGGTTCAAATCTCCTCTTTGTCACTACTTGTGTGACCGTGGGTGACCTTAACTTCCCTGGACTTCAGTTTCCTCATCTGTAAAATGATGGGGTTTAGATTGCATGGCTTCTGAGATTCTTTTCAGCTCCTAGACCTCTGATCCTCATTCATGCATTAAATGAATAAATATGTGAATTAAATGGGAATTGAAGCAGGAATCGTGGAAATTGGATATGCCAATGACAACCTGGCATATTAACTCCTTCTCTATTCCTTCTCTTATCAGACATCCCAGGAGTTTGTGCAAAAACTGACTCGGCGGTTGGGGAGCAAGAAAGCTGAGGAGACTGGTGGCTTTCAGGAGGCACCCCTGGCTTATGACGCCATCTGGGCTTTGGCTTTAGCTTTGAACAAGACATCAGGGGGCAGTGGTGTCCATTCAAGTGGTGGGGTGCGCCTGGAGGACTTCAACTATAACAACCAGACCATTACAGACCAGATCTACCGGGCGATGAACTCTTCATCCTTTGAAGGCGTTTCTGTGAGTCTTTTCCCATCCTTTGCTTTCTACTAGGTTTTTTTCTCATTCAAAGACTTACCCTTTAAAATATCTTTCCTCTTTCAGATCCACAGTATACTTTTATTCAGAATAGATTTTAAAAAAAATTTCCTTAGATTGCATGGACCTAACCTTCCTTTGCTCCCAGTCTCATTTTTGGCACCTGTCTTCCTCACCCCCTTAAAAGTTACAGAAATAGCCAATATAAAGGCAGCTAGATGGTGCAGTGGATAGAGTGCTGGACCTGGAGTCAGGAAGACCCGAATTAAAATGTTGCCTCAAAGACTTACTAGCTATGAGACCTTAGATAAGTCACTTAACCTTGCCTGTCTCAGTTTCCTCATCTGTAAAATGGGAATAGTCGTAGTACCTACTTCCCAGAGTTGTGAGGATAAAATGAAAAATGTATTTACAAAGCCCTTCAAAACCTTAAAGCTCTATATAAATTTTATTATTATAACAGAGAATTATTATTATTATTATTTTTATAAAAGAGAAAGTATTCAATTTCCTTTAAACCTGTTATCAGATTGCCACCTGATTTTCACGAGTCTCCTTAATACCATAGAATTTTTATCGCTGGAAGAGAGTTTAGAAAGAATCTACATAAACATCTTCATTTTATAGATGCAGAAATTGAGGCCTATAGAGGTTTGTGACTTGCCCAGGGTCATATAGCTATCTAAAGGCAAAGGTAGAAGTAGACCATAGGTTTCTTAACTCAGTCTAATACTCTTTATAATTTGAAGGTGATTTGCTGTTACAGATGCTTAGCTTCATCTCTTTAGGGGAATGATGCTTTAAAATCTAGGGTACTGACAACTGGGGTGTGTCCTATATGTAGGAAAATACCATAAATAGCATTTATTGAAAACATGAGAAATGAAAGTGTCCCTGATTTGCTTTTTTTTTTTCTGTCCTCCTTTTATCCATCCCTCCTCACTTCCCTCCTCCCATCCTTATTTCCTCTCTTTAGGGCCATGTGGTATTTGATGCTAGTGGTTCTAGGATGGCACGGACTCTCATTGAACAGCTGCAGGGTGAGGGCAAGGTTTGTGGGGAGGAGAATTGGGATGCGGGAGGGATCCTAAGTGAAGAGGGAGACACCAAATGGGGAGAGCTGTCAAGTGGAACACTGAGAAAAATCACAAGGTTATGTCATTTCCTTTTCCCCTGTGCCCTGGCTTATCTTCTCTATTTCTCAGATTGAAGAAAGTGACAACCTTTGAAGTTCTATCCATCCATCTATCTTCCATCCATCCATCCTTCTTTCTTTCTATCTATAATTCACTTACATATGTACATATATATACACATGTGTACATATATACACTATACATATATGTAACTCACTTTATAATTTAATAGCTGTGTTCCTAAAGAGTTGTTTGTAAATTGAATTAAATCCAATTTTCCCAATGACTTGTATTACCATTTCAGAGATACTTTAACCTCATTTCTGATAGACCTTAAAATGCCAAGTGTCCTGTGTTAAATCTTCCCCACTCTCACTTTCACCCTCGCTCTTCCAATCAAGGAGTTTTAATCTGTTTACATGTTAATCTGTTTATGTTAAATTGTTAATATGTTTTAAATTTACAAAGAGTTCTAATTATTTCAAACAACATTGGCATCTAAATGAATTCATCATTTTTTTTTTTGGTAATGCCATCCACCACCTTGCTTTTTAAGTTTGACATTTCTATAAGTTTATGAATCAGCGTCGTGTTAGGTTTTCTTAACGTGAGTTTTCCTGTATGGCCAATAAGCTTCTCTGAATTAATTTACCTTCTCTTGTCCTTGGTAAAGAGAATTATTTCTTGGGCCTCTTTGGAAAGCTCCTTTTTTTCCCTACCCTATCGCCTTCTTTTTGTGTCCAGGATGAGAAAAAAAGAAAGATATTTAACTACAATGGAAGGGATATAAGGTAGTGCCTGCAGAAGCTTCCTAGAACAGAGAATGGCAGGGAGGAGTATGAGACATTGGAATAGGTAACTGAGAAAAATTGTGGAGCAGCCCTTCTCTAGAGAGTTTTAAAGCTAGGAGAGATTCTTGTCTGTCTGAGCTGGCTTAGGTGTGCCGTACTACTTTCATGGAGATAAATGAAATGAACACTCCCCAAATCCTTTCAATTCTAAAGTTGACATCCCTAGGGTCAGATAGAAGAGAAATCAAAGACAATGGCAGTGCAGCTTTTCAGGAAATGGGGAGAGAAGGGGATTCAGGTTGTTTTCTGAATTCCTCTTGTGCTTACTCTCTTCCTTTCTCCCTCCTAGGTGGAAAATACATGCAGATTGGCTACTATGACAGCACCAAGGATGACCTCCACTGGCTGGGTGCTGACAAGTGGATTGGTAAGTGACGCCTGCTGTCTTTTCTGTGACTTTATTTCCTACATCCATTGTCCTTCTGAGAAGGGAAAAAACAAACAGGCCATTAATGTTGGTGGAGGTGGGGGAGGGCTAGAACGAGGCAGCTATAGCACAGGACCCAGGATCAGGAAATGGGAGGGAAATTGAAAAAGATTCTTATCTTGGTGAAGGACTATTGGAGTAGTTCATGGAGTGGTAAGAGAGTCACAGCTTTTAGCAGTAGGTGTACTGAAGTATAGGGTTGGGGTCCACCACCGTTGGTATGTGGTGGTTAAAGGAAGGAAATAGTTGTCATATTGAGAGTTTCTGATATAGTGGAAAGACCATGAGCATAAGAGAATCTGTGTTCTCTTCCACTAGCTGGATGTGTGCCCTTAGGCAAAATACTTAACTTTTCAATGCTTCATTTTCCACATTTGTAAAATAAGGTGACTGGTCTAGACAATATCTAAGACTCTTTATAAGTTTAATATTTTATTCTTCTTCTGCAATTCTATATTCTGGTGCTATCATGGAAATATTCCAGACAATCTAAACTCCTGAATTGTCTTGAGATCAAAATTCAGGGAGCAAACTGGGGTGTTTATCCTGTAGAAGAGAAGGCTAAGGAGTGACCTATTTTTGTCTGCAAGCACATAAAGAGTTTTAAATGAGAAGAACGTTACACAGTACTCTTCATTTATGTGCAAATTAGCTTAAATTAAAATAGAGATAATACTTGGCTAAAAAGAAGGTTTTCAGAGGGGAAAAACTTTGAGCTGGGCAACTGAGGGTAAATATATAGTCTCTATCCTAAAGATATTTAAGAGAAAGATAAAAGGCTAGCCAAGCATCTGTCCCTGATGGTTTAGGCTATTGATACCCCATGTTTTTCTTTTTGGTGTTTTGGCACCTTGTTGTTTTATTTAAATATAGCCTCTCCTCTCCTAAGTATTATATGCATATAATATGTATGTATCTATAAATATACACATTATATATATGTATGAGTACATATGCACATGTACACATATACAGTATATCCATATGTCCAATATATATTTATATTTTATTTAAAGTGAAGGCAATTATTTTGGAGAACTTTGGGAGAATTTTGTGATACCCCTTAAGGAATTTGTAGATACTTTGAGGTATTGTGGCTTAGATGTTCTCTCCAAAAGCAGACACTAAACTAGATAATATGTTCAAGATTTTTTCCAGCTCCGTGATTCTTTAGTTCTCTTGCTTGATGACTTTTTGATTGAAGCCTAGAAGAAACCTCTTTTAGTCCACCCTTTTATCCGATCATGACTGTGCCCTGCTTCTTTCACTGCCCTGCACCTCCCTTTGCTTAAGAAATGGAAACTTTACAACCTACTTTGGTGATGAAAGTCAGCATCTCTCCCAATCCTGTCTGTTAGGAATATTTGTTCCCATAGTGTAACATGTAGATCTTTTGCAACCTTCCTCCTTTCTTTAGTGGGATTAGGATTTCATATATGTGTGTGTGTGTGTGTGTGTGTGTGTGTGTGTGTGTATGTGTGTATGTATACATATATATATACACGCACACATATATGTATATATACATAAATTTATATTTTTTTTCCAGAGACATTTGCTTCAGATCCCTTACCCTTTAAGGTTCTCTCCTTTTTTTCCCTTTTCTGTTTCATTTCCTTCTCCAATCCAGGAGGGTCCCCCCCAGCTGACCAAACCGTGGTCATCAAGAGATTCCGCTATTTGTCCCAGAAGCTCTTTATTTCAGTCTCAGTACTATCCAGTTTGGGCATCGTGCTGGCCATCGTATGTCTGTCCTTTAACATCTACAACTCTCATGTACGGTCAGTTCCTCCTACACTTTTTTCCCTCTCTCTCTCTCTCTCTCTCTTTTTTGTCTTTACCTCTCAAATGACCACTATGGCCTCTACCCATCAGTCTACCCATGAATGGATATCATGGTAGAAACAAAACTTTGCCTCATCATAAAGCCATGTGCCCCACTGTCTGCCCAGTGTTGGCTCACTGACTTCCCAGTTAGTACTTGAATTAAAAGTAGGGATATAGACTATAAATTCCTTCCTATTCTTAAGTCATCTATCTGGGGGAAAAATGCCCTCTCAAGATCACATTAAAGCACTGATGGATGCTAAGCAAAATGTAAACTCAAGGATACTTGTGATGCTATTAGGCCCTCTGTAGCTCTACCTTTTGCCCACTTATGAATATGGTCCTTTCCACTCTTCCTTCCTGGTATTAGAGAGAGAAATTTCTATTTCCAAAGACTGATCTGCCCTTAACCTGATTTCTCTCAAGCCTTTTAAAGCCTGCTTTCCTGCAGTCCCGTGATCTCCATGCCTGGGCTTAGACCTGTGGTGTTGAGTGGAAAAGGTGGGGTTTATCCACAGAGGGGTAATTGATGTCTTCCCCTTCTCCCCTCTATTCTAGGTATATCCAGAACTCACAACCAAACTTGAACAATCTGACTGCTGTGGGCTGCTCCTTGGCCCTAGCTGCTGTCTTCCCACTTGGGCTGGATGGCTACCACATTAGGGCAGGCCACTTCCCCTTTGTTTGTCAGGTAAGAAGCTTTGATCCTGGACATTGTGTCCTACTACCATCTTACTTACTCTCATGCTTTATTTTCTCTTCTTTTTCCCTTTCCCCCTACAACTTTGTTCTTCATATGCCTTTCCTCCACCTAGTGATATCTCATGCTTATCTCTGCCTGACTATTCAAGTCCTTCCCAACCTTTTTCATTTTGCAATAAATTCCAGGAATGGCATAGTGAACAAAGAAATGGCCTTGGAATCAAGATGTTCTGGTTTCAAGTCCTGCTTCTGGCTGTGTGATCCTGGGGCAGGTCCATTACTCTAAGTACCCTAGGCAACTCTGCAACTATAAGTTGCAAATCAGGTGCCAATCCACATTGGTTCAGGTAGTGACTAGAATGGGAGCTCCCTACATGATGAAATTCTGTAAAAATATGAAGAGAATTCCAAAGTCACTATGAGACACCTTGTGAGTAGAAAATGAAATGGCAGGAAAGAAAGCATGCATGGACAAGAAATCCGCTAGGATAACATCCCTGTGGTGTAGTAGGAGTTCAGGATAAGAACTGAAGGCTGACAAGAGGGAGCCCCACACTGGGTTGGGGAGCACTTATATGTCTATTTTCTTGGCATTCTTCAGTCTCTCTCATCTCCTTTTCTCCATCTTTCTTTTTGTCTGAATCCTCATATCTTGTGTGTGCTCTCTCTCAACCTTCTTCCTCCTCTACCTACTCCACCATCTTCAGCTCCTCTGTTCAAGTCTGTCCCTTGTTCCCTTCTTCCTTACTTGCCTTGGGTCCCTCCCTTTCTTCTCTCCACTTTCCACAATGCGTGTACATGTTCTTTTTCTTTCCTTAGGCCCGACTCTGGCTTTTAGGCCTGGGCTTCAGTCTGGGGTATGGCTCCATGTTCACTAAGATCTGGTGGGTCCACACAGTATTCACAAAGAAGGAAGAGAAAAAGGAAAGAAGGAAGGTGAGCTGAGCTGCTCTGTCCCCTAACTCTCTGTCAAGCCCAGCCTCCCTTACCTCAATCTCCTGATCCTTTTTAGGAATCACTGATAGACCTTTGGTGGTATTGAAGATGTGAAGTGGCTGGATCCCGGGGCGGGGGGTCCTATCTATTAATAATTGTCCTCTTTGGCTCAGACTCTAGAATCCTGGAAACTTTATGCTACAGTGGGGCTGCTGGTGGGACTGGATATTTTCACATTGGTTATTTGGCAGATTGTGGATCCCTTACATCGAACTATTGAGGTACACTTAAAAGCTATGGAGTTGGAACTGAAGGGGCTGAGGGCAATTCATAAAGTCATTGACCTTGTTAGAAATTAGTTCAGAAGACCTTAGCAGAGATAACTCTCTGACCCCCGCTAGGCATTGGAGAGACCCTTCTCACCTTAGAAGGAGCTCTATTAAAGGTTTACTTATTATACAGTTTTGGAGAGGGGAAGAAAGCAGAAGACCTAAGGTATTATGTAGATAGTAATCAGGTAGGGTGCATTTAAGAAACTAGTGCTTTCAAAAATGGGGAGCTGGGATTTGGGGGTGGGGATGGGGAAGAGAAGCTCGTAGATAGAATGGAAACTGGGGATGTTATTGAGTGGGAGGTACTGGTATTGAGGATAACTTATTCAGAGAAAGGGGAAAAGTTGGAGACCATATCCTAGACAGGAAGTAGAATGTGAGAAGTGGTAGCCTTTGTACCTATGGTCCCATTTTTCCCTATAGTCTTTCACCAAGGAGGAGCCAAAGCAAGATATTGATATCTCCATTCTACCCCAGCTGGAGCACTGCAGCTCCAAGAAGATGAATACTTGGCTCGGTGGGTGGGGCATGGGGGACCTGGAGATGAAAGTAGTCATGAAAACAGAAGGGAGGAGTACAGGAACAGTAAAGGGGTTTGGGGGGAATGGGGTAGGAATCACCTGGGGCAAGATGCACAAAATTTTCACATTTTAACAACTTGGATTGCATATTTCCCAACAAAAGTATTTCATATAATAAAGGCCTTTCCAAGAATGGAAGAAAATTTGTCTCTGTCTGCAAGGAACTGAAACTCTAAGATAGAGATATGAGTCACACTTCTGTAGTGGCAGAGGAATAAGCTGGGGGACTACCTTATAAACAAATGTATACCATCTGTGACTGGCAAGTCATAGGCTTCACTGTCCTTTGGTTCAGTTGGTGTTGCTGTGTTCTGTAGCCACAGACTACATCCCTAACCCTGGAAAGTCCTGTTATAAATGCACCATGTTTGTTGTTGGCTGCCAGAATAGGCTGATCTGGAAAGCCAGTATGTACAGTTCAGTATAGTCCATCACCATTACTGAGAAAAAAACAAAACAAAACAATAACTTGGATCACATGCCCTGCTGAAAAGAGACCAGCAGTGTCACCTTATATTCAAAGGATAGCACTTTATAGGGAAAAGGGAATAAAGTTTAGGGAAGATGAGTGGGAGATGGGGTCAATGTGGGAGGGAGGGAAGAAAGGATTGGTGGTGCTACTGGGTTAGAGAGGTTAGAAAGGTCACCCTTCACTTTGCTTTAATGATAAATTATGGAGCTATTAGAAAAGAGGGCAGCTGGTGAAGGATTAGGGAAGTCAGGGGGATTGGGGAAGGAATAGATGTTGGGAGGGAGTGAAGATCAGTGTTTTCCATGTGACCTTTTTAATCCCTAGGTATCTTCTATGGGTATAAGGGACTATTGCTGCTGCTTGGGATTTTCCTTGCCTATGAGACCAAGAGCGTCTCCACTGAGAAAATCAATGACCACCGTGCTGTTGGCATGGCAATCTACAATGTGGCGGTGAGCCACTTTGATATGATCTTTGAATCAATGGCCTATGACTACATATGGGTAGATCATCCCAGGACTCAGAAATGGCATTCTGATAGCATTAAGGTTGGGGAGCCCAAGATCAGAGCCTTAACCAAGAATTTGTGATACTAGAGCAAATTCACTTGGAATGAGTAGGGTGGTGGGGAAAGAGGGGAGAATGGAAATGGGGGGAGAGGAGATGGCATAATTTTCCCTAGGTGCAGTCATACAGGAAAAGGAGTTGACTTGTCCCCCAGGGAGCGTGGCTCATGCCTCTATGGCATAGAAAACAGTCCCTGACCTTTCCATAGCCCTTCCGTCCCTCTTCCTTAGGAAAAATTACAGAGGAGAGATGATAGTAGAGTGATGCCACCTCTTAGGAGACTGGGGTGGGTGGCCTTGGAGTGGGAGATGCATTGAACTGGGAGACATAGGCTGGAAACATACCTCCCATTGTTAGCATCTTGGGTAGAGGCACTCTTATTATGGCTCTGGCTATTTCATAGTAAGTCTGAAAGAAATGGATTCTACTCTGCCTCTTCACAGTGCTTTGTTCACAGTAGTCATTTAATAAGTGGTTATTAAATGAAATTAAATGTCTTTCCATTTCTAAGGCAGATAGGGAATACCAAATGTGTGCGTAGGCTAATTTTATGCCTACCTATTGGCTATACTCATATCTCCGAGGAAGCAGAAGGGAGAAGGGGATTGGTCAGGTCTGGGGAAATGATTGGTGGGAAAAGTTTCTTTGGAATTCATCTCCAAATCAGTGGTTACCATGATCCCTGACAGAGGTTATCTCTAATGAGATAGCCAATACCAACATGCTTTCCTCAGTAGCTCCCCAAACTGGCTTGTGGTAAGAATTAGGGAGGGAGAAAATTTGTCCCACATCTTATTGGACTCTAAACTTCCTAGTGTCTTTAATCTCTTATTGTCTTTTTCAGGTCCTGTGTCTCATCACTGCCCCAGTCACTATGATCCTGTCCAGTCAACAGGATGCCGCTTTTGCCTTTGCTTCTCTTGCCATTGTATTTTCTTCCTACATTACCCTGGTTGTGCTTTTTGTGCCCAAGGTGAGGCTTTGGAATAAGAGGAAGGCGTTTTTCTTAATGGATTCCCCTTTCTTAATCTGGATTTATCCATGTTTTCTAATTCCTTCCTGACTCTATTTCTGTCCTTTTGTTTTTTGTTTCTCTTTTCCTTAACCCTCTTTCTCATTCTATCTTGTATTCTATCCCTTCCCATAACCCAGGAGTTCCCCCTCACCTTCCACATGCTTTCTAAATTCTTTGATTCTACCCTTTTCCTTTCCCATTCTTGTCTCTGTGCTGCTGCTACCCACTTAACTTCATTCCTTGCTTTTCTTTCCCCGTCTTTGCCATTAGACTCAGCTGAGTGTTTTGTTCTTCCTTCCCATACCAATTCCCCTCAGATGCGGAGGCTGATCACCAGAGGAGAGTGGCAGTCTGAAGCCCAAGACACCATGAAAACAGGTTCATCTACTAATAACAATGAGGAAGAGAAATCACGGCTCCTAGAGAAAGAGAATCAGGAGCTAGAGAAGATCATTGCTGAGGTGGGTGGAGGAGTCTAAGGAAAGGTCAGCTTGTGATTCTGAAGGACAGGTAGTTTTGGGAAGAAGTGTTTGTGGGGCTTATATTTTATTTTATTATATTGTATTTACATATGTTGAAAGCTTTCAGTTCTTATTTTTTCCCTCTTTCATTCATTTCCTTCTAACTCCTTTTATCTCTTGCCATTCTCCTGGTATCCCCTTCTTTCCCTCTTCTTCAATTCCCTCTTCCTTTTTTCCTGCATCTTTGCCTCTCCTTCAACATTCCCTCCCTACTCACTGTCATCTCTTTCCTTTCTGCTCTTGTTTTTCTGCCACTAGAAAGAGGAACGGGTCTCTGAACTTCGCCATCAGCTCCAGTCTCGGCAACAGCTCCGTTCAAGGCGTCATCCCCCAACTCCCCCAGACCCTTCAGGGGGCCTTCCTTGTGGTACCTCTGAGCCACCTGACCGGCTCAGCTGTGATGGAAGCCGGGTCCATTTGCTCTATAAGTGAGGGAATGGGAATGAAGGGAAGGAAAGTAGATAAGGGCTTTTTTTGGGGTGGGGTGGGGTGCGGAGAGGGAAGCAAATGGGATGGGGGGAAGTGGGGAAAGATTTGGAGAACTTTGGGGAGAAATAGGGAAAAGCCCTCATCCCCAGGGGACAGGAATGGGCTTTCTAATCCCACTGCTGTCTGTCTGTCTTTCCTAGGGTGGCTTGGGTTTCCAGTACTCTGGGAAACAAGCCTCTTTCCTCATACCCACACATCTTCATGTCTTGCTTTATTACCTCAGCTCTAATTTGCTCTTGGTTATCTCTTGACATATATGTATTCCTCACTGCCATCTCCTGTCTTCTTGTGACTCACATCCCCTTAACTCATCTAATTCATACTTATTGAGTCTCCTGGACCCTCCTTCCACATGCTATGGACCTTTTATACTTTCATACACTCATGGTTCTCCCTACTTTATAAGTGTTTTTTCCTTCCATCTCACCATTGTTTTCTCCAGTATTGGGCCATCTCTGCTAAATTTAGCACCTTTGTGCTTTTTCACTCTTCTCCCTGCTCCCTCTACACATGTTCAGGCTCTCCCCATGTACCCTTTTTACTTTGCCCATATTCTCCTTTTCCTTGCCCAGACTTATTTACACTTTTGCCTCTGGCTTGTTCTTGCCCTTGCTCACCATTGTATCTAGATTCTTCCCACACATCTTTGCTTACAAACATACTTGGTTTGCATTCAATTCAACAAGTTTATTTTAAGGATTTAATATGTGCTAGGCACAGGGAAAGACGAAAAACCACCTAGTCCCTGTCCTTGTGGAACTTACAGTCTGGTAGAGATTAGATATGTTAACAATCAGTTTTAATACAAGTTAGAGTATTATAAACACATAGGAAAGGTCAGGGTGACATGAGCAATTGAAGGATCATTTGTGGATAGAGATGTCCCGCAAATCAGAGAAGCAGTGTGATATGGTGCATAGGGAACTGACCTTGAAACCAGGAAGATCTGGATTCAAGTCCTGACTCTGACGTGTACTAGCTGTGTGACATTGGGTGAGTAACTTAAGCTTTCAGTGCTCTTGCCAACCCTCTAAACTGTAAGTTGCAGAGAAGGTAGGTGCCAACCCGCAGTGATAACTTTCTCACCTAAGAATTCCCTATACGAATAAAATCACAGGTTCAGTCCTCATCCCTATGTTCAACATTACATATGTGCTCTTGTCATTGTCATTGTGCTCATGGTCATGTGTACTTTTACATATGCCCCTATCTGCAAGTGCTGTAACTAATGCTTTCCCTACACATGCTCAGTCACCACTGTACTTTTATAACCACACGTTCACTTTTCCTGTATATTCTCATTCATAAACCCTGTGTCCCTCCTATACATTCCTTGTTCATGTTGATGGATTTCCTCTCCTTCTATGCTTATTTGCTTCCTCTTGCCCACACCCATACCCATGCTATAATGACAATTTTCCTCCCCTCACATGATATTCACCTTCCTGTAGTCACAACCTCTTAGCACTCTATCCATATTCATATCTGTCCTCCCTGTGATCCTTCCCTTCTGACACAACTCCCTTGGGCTTGTTTTGGGGAGAATTGATGGAGAAGGCATAGGGGGCACAATTAAGCTACTTCTAATGGCTAGCTGGCAAGCAATCTTGACTGAAGGAGGGGTGCCTTCAACAACTAGGACAAACAGACGGACATATTGGGCATGGATATTTCCTCATATTGTGGTGTCTTCTGGGGAAGATTCTCCTAGGCCTTCAATAAACCAGAGATCAATGTGACACATGGCGTCTCTTCCTTCCTCTGTTGTTGAGAAAGGAACAAACACCTCTTTATCTTGGAGCAGACAGAAGGAATGACTTAAATTTTAAGTCAATGAGGAGACATTAAGGAGGCTTTTTTTTTTTTTTGGAGAGGATGGTAGCTGCTGTTTAGAATCATTGAGGGGAGAAACAACTCCTTGATAGGAATAGTCTCCACATCCTGAAGCATGTTTCCATCAGAGTTTGAGAAGTCTCCTCTGCACTTAAAATACAATGAGAACATCTATAGGACATGAACAAAATGGCATTATAAGGAATCTTTCAGCAGTAAGATTCTTTGAACACTGCTTCCTAGGGAAAAAAAGAAGTTTCAGTGCAGTGAAATAAAATCTTTATTATTTAATGCCCCGAGATAAGACTGTGCTGCTTAGATTTTTGTATCCTGTGAGCTCCCAGGCACTCTTTCTTTGTAGGGAGGTATCTCTAGGCCCTTAACTTTTTTTATTCCAGAAGTTGATTTATTGCCTCTCCCTGACCACATGGCAGACAGAGGTGCTTGGCCCCTGACATCCTATTTAAAGCTAAAGAGTATTAATCATTTCCAATTCTCTAAATTATTATATTATTATAAAGGCATTATATAGCATATTATATAAAGACATGTTATATTATCATAAAGACAGAAGGAACATCGGTAGTTGATGTCTATTGAATCCCATTTTCTTCTGATATAACTTCAAGGGAGAAAGGAGGAAGAAATAACTATGGCCTAGATAATTCCTGTTAGGCTGCATATAGAAAGAGAAGTGGTTTACTGCCATCCTCATGCAAAAATTAAAGTTTGAAGGTGAAGTTGTTTCAGTAGCTGAGCTTACAAAGGGGAAATCAGGGTCTTCCTTAGCATGAGTGGTGGCAGTAGGGGACCTAGTGGAAGAACACAATCTAGTGGAATGAGAATACATTGGCTACAGAGTAGTAGTTAGGAAGACTTTTCTGTCCTCTTACCCCCCCCCCCATTCACTCTGGGAAGGAGTTACAGAATCATGGAACCCTTAAGTTGGAAGGGACCTTAGCAAGTCTATTGCAACCCTTTCCCCCAAAGGAATCTTCTTTGCATCCATGCACTTCCTGAAGACCTACAATGGAGAGAGTCCTGTTTCCTTCTGGGGGAGCCCACTCTACTTGTGTACAGTTCTATTATTAGGATATTTTTCCTGACATCAAGTACAAATGGACCTCTTTGCAACTTCTACCCAGTTCTCCTCATTCTGCTTTCTGGGGTCTAATACCTCCTCCACATGACAGCTCTTCAGATACTTCATCCTGGGGCGTCTCCAGTCATCCTGATCTGTATCTTACCACTGAGCCCAAATGGCTCTGGAGGAGAAAGTGAGGCTGGTGACTTTGCATAGCCCTCCCTCACTTAAATTTAATCCATTTGTAAGTCATGGCATTGCCTTCCTGATGTCATGGTCCTCTTCAAGAATGAAGGACAAACAACTTCAGATACTTAGGATCATTCATGTAGGGCTAGAAGGGAGCCATGTAGTCCAACCTCATTTTAGAGAGGAGGTAACTGTGGCCAGGTGCGGTTATCGATTGCGCAAGGTCACACAGGTAATAAATATCAGGGGTGGGAGTTGAACAGAGGTCCTCTCACTACAGATGTACCACTTTCTGATGTATCACTGAATGCAGCTGTCATGTCCCTGCTCCTTCTTCTCTCTCCCTGCTCCTTCTTCTCTCGCCCTGCAATCTTCTCTAGGCTAAGTATTCCTAGTTTCTTCAACCAAACCTCATGTGATAGCATCAAGGTCCTTCACTACCTGATGTCCCTCATATGGATTCTCATGGGCATAATTACCAATATCCTTCCTAAAATGATACAGAACAATACTACAGATATAATCTGACCATGGCAAAGTTCTATGGGACTATCACTTACAGCAGAAAGCTATATTTTTCCTAATGTACCCCAAGATGGCATATCACATTGTTGACTCATATTGAACTTTCAGTGTACCAAAACCCCAAGAATTTTTTTTTTGGACAAGCTACTATCTGGTGCTTGTGAAGTTAATTTTTTGAAATTAAGTGCAAGATGTTATGTTATTTATTAAATTTCCTCTTACAAGATTCAAGTATTTCTAGATCTTTTTGGATCCTCTGTCATCCAATGATTCAGTAAGATTTGTTGAGCACATGTTACTATGGACCAGGCACTGTACTAGGCATATAGGGAAAAAAAAAGAATAAATAATCCCTATCCTGAAGGAACTTGTATTCTATTGTGGGAAATAACACGTAAATATGAAACTATATCCCAATTAATTTTAAGGAGGGGAGTCTTTTGTTGAATGTGACATTTGGGCTGAGCTTCAAAGGAAGCAAAAGATTCATGGAGATAGAAGTAAAGAAAGAGTTTTTTGCTAGGTATGGGGGACAGCCTGTGCAAAGACATAAAGACAGGAGATGAAACATATACAAGGAACAGCAAGTAGTTTGATCTGACCAAAGAATACATGAAGGGGAATAATGTGTAATAAGCCTAGAAAGCTTTAAACATCAAACAAAAGCTTGCGTTTTATCCTGGAGGCAAGAGGAAGCCACTGGAGCTTTTTGTGTAAAGAGAATGAGATGGTCAGACCTTTGCTTTGGAAATACCACTTTGGCAGCCACGTGGATGGGCAGCTAGGTGGTGCAGTGGATAGAGTGCCAGGCCTGGAGTCAGGAAGACTCATCTTCCTAAGTTTTCAAGTCTGGCCTCAGACACTTACTAGTTATGTGACCTTGGGTAAGTCACTCAACTCTGTTTGCCTCAGTTTCCTCATCTGTAAAAATGAGCTGGAGAAGGAAATGGAAAACTTCAGTATCTTTGCATGATCCCTGAATGGAGTCATGAAAAGTCAAACATGACTGAAAAATGATTGAACAAAGCAGCCATGTGGAGGATGGACAGAAGTGAGTAGGAAAGGATCCCATTTGGAAGGCTATTGTTAACTATCTCTTCCTAACTTTGGGTTATCGGCAAATTTGATGAGCCTTTATGCTTTACCAAAAAAACACCTTCAGCATTTATGATTCCCTTCTTTCCCTGCCCCTCCTGCCCCAATAATTGATAAAAATGTTAAATAGTGCAGAGGTCTGGGGCATTCCACTAGATACTTGCCAAATTTACATCGAACTATTAAAGACTACTCCTTGAGTCTGTCCATTCATCCAGTTCTGAATCTTTTCTAGTCTATAGCTCTTGATTTTTTTCAACAAGAAGAACATAATATACCTTATTGAATGTTGATTAAAAATCTACAAAAGCTCTTTATGGCATTCCCCTGGCCCACCAGTTTAGTAACCCTGTCAAATACAGTAAAAAAACTGATTATGGTGGTATTTGTTCTTGAATTCTCTTTGTGATCGCCACTTCCTTTTCTAGCTATTCACTAATGATATATTTAACAAATGATTCCAGAATTTTGCCAGGAAACAAAGCAAAGATCACAGTTGGATAATTTGTAGACTCTAATAGTTAACATTTATATATCAAAATGCTATATAACCATAAAGATTTGGAAAACACTTCATATGTATTAACTCATTTTATCCTGGGAGGTAGGTACTTTTATTTATCTCCATTTTACAGATGGGAAAACTAAGGCACAGGTTAAGTGACTTGCCTAAGTTTACACAGCTAGTAAATATATGAGACTATATTTGAACTCAGGTCTTTCTGACCCCAGGTCCAGTGCTCTATTCCCTGTGCTACCTAGCTGCCTCTAAAGATAATTATGCTCATTTCCCCCTTTTCTGAAGGGGGAAAACCTTTTTTTTTTTTTACATTTCATTGTCTTTTAGGTGAAAGGAAAATTCTCCATTTGGGCTTTTCACCCTGATTAAAAAGGCAAAACTCAGGACAAAGGGAATTTAAAAGGATTTCATTATAAGTATGTCAAGTTGATACGCTGATCACTGGAGATCAGCAACAGCTTCAAGATGGAGACAGCTTTTATAGGTAACTTTAAGACAGTCCAGCTTGGTCCACCTCAGCAAAAGAGGCTGGGCCTTTGCATCTCAATTCCTCCTCAAGGTAGCTAGAATATGACAATTTGCAGGTAATACGAATAGCTGCAGACTTGATGTGTCCTTCCCCACTAGAACCTTCCCCAACACTGATTGATAAGCAGTGCTGGAAACAACGGGAAACTGAGTCAACATAATTTTAACTTTCCTCCCCAGTCTCAGCACATTCTGAACTTTAGCATTCCTGATATTGTTCTTACAGGATTGTGCCATGCTTTATATTCATCTTATTTGCCCTTGCTTTCATCTTCCGTATATGTCCTTTTAAAATACAAGTTAGTCGGTGAGTTCTTCATTCATCCATTTAGGATCTCTTCAGACAATTCCCATTTTTTCCTCATCAGAATTGTTGATACCTTTAAGACTTGTAAAGAAAGCCTAGCATCTGTCCTCCAGCCCCCCCAACTCTGACCTTATCTACTTTTTTTTTAACATTTTAAAAACTCTTGAGTTCCAAATTCTCTCCCTCTCTCCTTCCCCTCCCCACCTTGAGAGAAGGCAAGCAATTTGATATAAATTATACATGTGAAGTCATGCAAAACATTTACATATTAGCCATATCACAAAAGAAAGAAAGAAAAAACCAAGAAACATAGAGAAAGTTAAAAAAAGTATTCTTTGTTCTGCATTCAGACTCCATCAGTTCTTTCTTTGGAGGTGGACAACATTTTTCATCAAAATCCTTCAGAATTTTCTTATATTGCTTAGAATAGCTAAGTCACTCACAGTTGATCATCAGACAATATTTCTGTTACTCTGTAAACTCATTTTGTATCAGTTTATGTAAGTCTTCCCAGGTTTTTCTGAAAGCATCCTGCTCATCATTTTTTATAGCACAATAGTGTTCCGTCACAATCATGTACCACAACTTGCTCAGCCATTTTCCAATTGATGGGCATTCCCTCACTTTCCAATTCTTTTTATTCACCACAAAAAGATCT